AAAAAAAAAAAAAAAAAATGTGACTACCCTCCCAGCTACACAAGGACCTGGGCGGGCTCACTAACTCAAAAAAAAAATATATATATATTAATAATATTAATAATAATAATGTGATTACCCTCCCAGTTATATCAGCCAGGAAGAAGTAATTGAACCACCTCCTGCCTCAACATACACATTTCTACATAAAACATTACTAGAGGAATAAAGATGAGAGTGACCAACCAGCTCCACTAAGAACCTGGCAGGCCTCTCCATACAGTGTACCTTTAGACTAACACAACTAACACTTAACTAACACCTCAAAAAAAATAAAAAAAAATAAAAAAAAATGTGACTACCCTCCCAGTTACACAAGGACCTGGGCGGGCTCACTAACTCCAACAATAACAAATAATAATAATAAGCAGCATTATATAAATAAACCAATATTAATACAAAGGTCTGACGACCCAAGGGAGCAGAACAAAGACAAAACACCAATAAGAAAGATGAAGCGATCTGGTTGAGCCCAGATTCTTTCTACTCCTACTGTATTTCAGTTTCACCACTTTTCCTTCAACTCCTAATAATCTTCTTTCACCTCTTAACTAAAGACTTCGTATCGTACCACCGAGCGATATAGGACTGCTGGACCCGGAGCTGCGAAGACCTGCCTCTTTTGCTGCATGTGAGCAGTCTGCAACTTTGTTGTGATAAGACACTCAATCCTAGTGATTGTACTTACTCAACATAGTGACGGTGTAATTACCATCACAGATTGTACGGGAAATTCCAACTTTTGGAAAAAACAAATATTTGGGCACCCCAAATTTTGACTACTACCCGTGCGTCTACGTCCTGGATTGGCCAATCAGTGGTGCCCCACGGTGGCGTGATACATGCACGTTTACTGCGGTGCTCTGATTGGCTAACCGAACGTGGCGTGGTAGGTAGGCTGTTTCTACTCTCTAAGTCCTCTTCTTTCCTTTTTTCATCCCCCTCATGCACTCCGTTCTTTGAACGGGAGGCGGGACTTAGCGATACGGTCGATCCGGCAAGGGAACCTGTGATAGTGCAGGGCACCCCTTGTCCGGGGGTCACCGGTAGGTGGCAACTTTCTTAGATATAACTATAGTCACAGGTAACCTGGGTGCAGAACCCTACGAGCCCGACGCCCGTCCAAGAGGGGGGGGCGGGGTCACTGCTCCCAGGCAGGAGCCCTGTGTTATAGGTAGGATTAGATGTAATCAAGAAGATGACAACTAGCATTAGAATAAAACATAGAGATAAGGGACACTCTATTGGAAGGTGAAAAGTGGCAGAAATCACTTACAACAAACTGCAAGTCCCACTAACAAGAATATTCAGCACCAATGAAGGTTTTAAAGTAATCTGTAAAGATGACTTTGATTCAGATAAAATCCTTTCAAAAGAAGCAAGAGATATATTTTACAATGAAGGCCTTATTGTTGTCATGCCACCAGAACAAAAAGCAAAAAGATCAGTTTTTGTTCGACAAGTCG